ACAAAGTACAAGAACTTTCTCCTCTCTCAATGAGCTCTCGAGCCATTTCCTCATTTCCTATCATACACACATGCTTAGGCAGCAGGTGTAAAATCATTTAAGATTTTCAACTCTTATTTTGCTTTGAAAAACACTTAATTAATCTTGTTAAATATCACCATGATCATAATCATAACCTTAAGGAAAAGAGTGCCTTTTCCTTTGGCCCATTTGCTCACGGTAGGTGATCTTCTTAGTGCTGAGATTTTCTTTCAGCCTAAATGCTAAAAAATTCAGTACAGTCATTAATAGAGATGACAGCTACAGTAGCATTCTACTTATGAATATTCATGAAATGAAATCCATAGCATTAATTATATTAATTTACATACCTGAATATAAGTGAACCATAGTTATAGTGATAGCTAAGCCTAAAAAAAAAACCCTTAGTAACTGTATATTGTATGTTTTTTAAAAAATAGGATGCAATTTAATAAGGGCAGAGGTGGCATTTTCAAAAGGCATTTGGGTATTTATAGTTAGAGATGTTTTTAGCTAAGAATTAAAGACAGTATAATCCTACAGTTTTCATAGGATTTTTTAGGGCTTATAAAGATTCTTTAAAGGAAGAGCATATAAAGAAAATATATGTGCTTGAACACAGGAGAAAGCTTTTGTATGAATAAGAGAATTAGTGGTTACTTGATTCTTTCTTTAATTGAGGTATAGGTGATTTACAATATTACGTTAATTTCAGGTATATAACATAGTGATTCAGTATTTTTATAAACTATACTCCATTTAATGTTATAAAATAATGACTATATTTCCCTGTGCTGTACAATATATCCTTGTTGCTTATTTATTTTATACATAGTAGCTTGTGTCTCTTACTCACTTACCCTCCCTTTGTTTTTAGTTTTTTAAAAAATTTCATTGATGTGTAGTTGATTTACAACGTTGTGTTTAATTTCTGCTGTACAGCAAAGTGACTGTTATACATATATATATTCTTTTTCATATTCTTTTCCATTATGGTTTATCACAGGATATTGAATATAGTTCCTTGTGCTATACAGTAGGACCTTGTTGTTTATCCATTTTTTTAAAAATAAAAACAATCCCACAGCATTTATTGTCATCTGGTAATAACATAAAGGTGAGCAAAACAATATAAATAAATGCTTTAGAGTTACACTTCTAACAAAGGACACCTAAACAAACTGCATTGCCTTCTCAACAATTTCTCACTTCATTGATCATTTCTAGTTGGAGACACTTTGGAGCAGAATAATGTTAACTCCTTTTAGCATGATCCAACCCAGTTGTTTTCTTGACTTTGGTTTAGAATGAATCTCTTCTGCATCATCTAATACGAGCTTCATATACTCATCAAAACCAGTGATACAGCCCTGTGTCCGCATATTCACTTGCTCATAAAGCCACACCTGAATCCGAGATATATTTTGCAAGTATCTGAAGATGAGATTAATGGGCTGCACCATCACCTTCTGCACCTTCTGGCCCTGGCCCCGGTACGCCATGGTGGAAGCTCACAAAGACCACACTATCCCACACACTCTATCCATCTGATATATAATAGTTTACATCCACTAATCCTAAACTCCCAGTTGTCCCCCCTCCCCACCCCCTGGCCCCCTTGGCAACCACAAGTCTGTTCTCTGTATCTGTGAGTCTGTTTGTGTTTTGTAGATAATGTTCATTTGTGTCGGGGTTTTTTGTTTGTTTGGTTGGTTTTTTTTGCTGTGCCGCATGGTGTGCAGAATCTTATTTTCCTGACCAGGGATCAAACCTGTGCCCCCTGCAGTGGAAGCATGGAGTCTTAACCACTGGACCACCAGGGAAGGCCCTGTGTTGTATTTTAGATTCCACATATCAGTGATATCATATGACCCATACCCTTATCTTGCCCCTCCCCAATACTTGATTCATATTTGGGACCATAGCTCTTTTTAGTCGGTGAGTTTTAAATTTAACATATTCTTTTGAAAGGAGTCATGGTTGAAAATAATTCATAATCTACGAGAATGGATTTATTTTCACCCAGTTTTGTGACTGAGAAACTTTGATTTCGGAAAAAAAGTTTTATGTGTGCATTTTTAGAAGTTAAAAACATATATGCTATATAGGTAGTATAACAGCCACATTGGTTATAAAAGATTTTAAAATCTAAGCCAAAATGCCATAACTTGAATTTCTTTAAAATGTGTGATGTTGAACATCATCTTTACCTCAGAGATACAGATTGCGTTTGTTTTCAACTGGATTGTCTTTGAAACAGAGTATCAGAATTAACTCATTACCCGCATTGTGTTCAATCAATATTTGAAAAACTAACTGAAGCATATTCAGTTAATATAATATTTTAAAGTGATACCGAGAAGGGTTTTACATTAATAAATGCAAAATTAAATTTAAAAAAATCATTTTATTTCATCTCATTATTTTATAATTTCTATTTTTGTATGTTTAGATGTATATTATATGTAATTTAGTAATATATATTAGATTTTTATGTATATAATTAGTACAGTAAAACATGCATATAATTTATAAATGAAATCATATATTGGAGTTAAGTGCTTACAATCTTTGCCTGGCACGAGTGTTCAGTTATAATGGAGAATGCAGTGGAGTGACAGGGGCCGTTGCTCTGCTTATTCCCTATTTCACAGTGAGACCTTTGGCAAGTCGCCTGTCCTGTCCATAGTGTGGCCATCTTACCTTTGTATGTATAGTGGACTGACTGGCAAAATAGTACAGTGTGGTCTCACTGTGGTTAGAAATTGCTGAGAGTAAAGCATCCTTCTATGGTCTCACAAGGGAATTTATTTACAGAAGATTGAAAAACACTGGACCCCTGAGGGCTGCATCAGGGCAACAGTCCTGAGTGCTTGGTCAAGTACTTTCACCTTTTGGGGGACAACAAATCTCTAAACAGTCTAAAGTTAGTATTATTATCATAGTAATAAATGGAACAAAAAAATATCTTTGTGGACGGCATATTTTTTGCTGTTCTGTGAATGAGTCAAAATTAGGCTTATACTCAAGGTTTTGTTAAAATATTCTCTTTCCCTTATTAAATTTCAAATAAAATATCAATATTAAATTGTTAATTGCTCACCTTTGTTACAGCATGTAGATCAAACGTAATGGATGGCCATGCAGTTGCTTGGGCTAACTTGCTAGGAAAAAAATGTATTCCCTACAAAATCATGATTATGTCTTTGTGCAGTTTTTCGCCTTTTTTTATGATGGTTTCTTCCATGTATTAAATTCAGTTTTGGATATAATAGATGTATGCTTTCACCTAATTTCATCATAGTAAAGTTGGTATATTGGGACAGTTGACATTTATAAAATATGTAGTGATTTTGTTTGAAGTAATGGTGTTTGACTAATTGCCAGATTTTCCAAGGGTTTCTTATTGACTTTTCATCAAACATTACTTATTTTCCTTCACTATAGAATATATTGAACCACAACACTATGACAAGCATAATGAGCTTTTAAAGATCTCTGCCTACAGAGATCACAATCAAACGTTAAATATTTAGATATCAGATGCTTTTGTTCAAACAGAAATGATACTTACTGTGGTGCAAAATTTACAAAACAAGAAGACAGATAAAACCTTTCTGTAGGCTGCTTCCCAAATTGTTTATAAATATCTGGTTTTGCCATATTTAGCTTCCTTAATTGAACTTTGAAGAGATTGTACAAATGAAAGCAAATGAGAGTAGACTAGCTTACTTTTTTCTTTCTTTAGATTTTAGGCAAGGAGTCCCTCTCCATTAAATTATTCTAAATTATTCTAGTGAGAGTATCTAAACATTTTTATTATGCTGTGTTTTGAAAGCTCATTCAAGTTGCTATTTTTCAAGTTTTCTTATGATAAAGCAGTATTTTATTCCTTTACTTCAGACTGTTTATACACATAACTGTTATTTTCATAATGAAAATATTAAAGACCAAGACTGACACACTAATATAGACAAATTATTTCAAGTCCTTTATGCTGTGGGGTACCAATGAAATAACATTCTGAACCACAATAGGTTTTTCCCATTAGCTTTATTTTCAACATAGATTTTATGTTAGAACTGCAAACATGGCTAGGACAGTGGTTCTCAACCTAACTACACAGCAGAATGATTTGAAGCCTTTTAAAAATTTATAAACCCCAGGCCTCAGGGATATATATTTTAAGGTCCCTCAGGTGTTTTCTTTGCGTAGGCAGAGTTGAGGAATACATAGGTCTAGGAGAGCAAATGCTCAGTAGCATAGGTGAGAAATACTATACTTATCTATTGATAACCTCAGTGGTTGAGCTTCAAAGCCTCAAATAAAGGGGCAAAGGCTCTGAACCCTTGAAATAGCAGCTATTAAAGTTTTTCACTTTAGCCCAAAAGAGAAGTCCTTGACCTTGCTTTACATATAATCCTAACAATTCTGGTTATGTGATTTCTCCAGCCCTGACAGATGAGAAGCGGCAAAATCAAACTAGGAGGCTGTTGGTAAAAGAAGTAATAGTTGTCAAGCGTGGGAAGATAGCACAAACAGCTGCGTTAGATCTCGATGCAGAAATTGATGGACGCTTGAATATGTTGACCTTCAGTCATCATAGGCGGAAAATTATGATGAATATTATCTGATTTAGGAATCGCGATAGTTTCTATACATTTTAGAAAGATTTTAAAATTCTAAGTTGGTTAAAGTAAAGAAGGGGGAAATGATTTTAAACCTGAAATATTTACTTACCTGAAAGATTCACTTCTGTAGAATGATAGTGTATTCCCCAGTAGTAGCAGCTAAATGAGGCGTTAATAGGCTCGTGCAAATGGGGGGAAAAAGCTACTGTGTCTGTTTGGCCAGATATGGGTTTTAAATGCTAATAATAGGAGTATCTATTTCAAAATCTTAACACAGCCAAATTATAGCTTTTTTCATTCGCCGTATGCTTTTCCAAAATTTTTCACATGTTTTCTTCTTCCCCACAGCAATCTCACAGTTTAGGCAGGCCTGTCTGGCTCCAGATTGCCGAGTCTGCTTACAGATTCACTCTGGGCTCAGTTGCTGGAGGTGAGTGACATGTCTATGTGCTGTTTCAAGCTTGCGTTCATGTAATATTATCTCACTAGACCGGGACAGATCAGCAAAGGTTCAGTTCATTGTTCCCAAGGGTCACGACTGCAGGGCTTTCTGAAGTATTCTTTATTTTTACCTACGATCAGAGGACTTGTCATAGCACAGCCGTGGCCCCTCTGGCTCCAGTCTGTCTTCAAGACAAAACCTCTGTAATCATGTGAAAGTCTTGGATGCGTGCTGCACTCCCCTTAATTATACTGGTTAAAGCCAGTACGAAGAAATGGAGAATAAGACTGTGTTTCTGGTGTTAGGAGTGAGGGCAGGTAAGAGATCAAGATTTGGGGTACAAATTCCAGAACCTTATGAAATAAAACAACCTCTCACAGAGATTCGCTTTTGCTTTTCTGCTTGTTTCCCCCCCCCCACCTCATCTTTTACTGGCTGAAGAATATCTAGACTTGAAGGTTATTTGTTAAAATGAACCTCTCTTCCCTGCTCCTGGGCAAAATTTGAGAGGCTTTTTTTGCTTAAATCTCTTCACAGAAAATGTATAAAATCTGAAGTTGCTTTATTGAGAAGAACCTAGTGGTGTGATTAAAATACTTATGATTTTTCAAAAGAAGTCTAAACTGATGAAACTATTATTTTTTCTTTTCAATCTGTTTTAGAAGTTGCAAAGCATGTTTTGGTTTTCAACAGTTGAAAAATATAATACTCTAATTCATGTTATAAATTTTTCAGTCCCTGAGAAATTCTAAAGCCCAGGCTTTTTATTTTTATAAACCGAATGCTGTGAGTAGGGGGAGGGTCATGTTGAGATTTGGTTCCAATATTATAGTTGTAACTAAGGTTAATTTACCAAAATGCTGTAGTAAACTAAATTTTAAAATTGCAGCCACCTATGTGTAGATATATAGTTATTTTAAGAGGTAACTGGTATAATATGTAGGCATTTAATGGAAAATATAAAGAAATATGTTATATATAAGAGTTTAATGTTGTTAAAGGAAATTGAGTGTTGATTATCTAATGTTGGTGATGACTTGAAAATCCATTACAGTTGTTCTCTGAAGCAGCTGTATTTATGGATCCCAGTGGTTGCTAGCCTGTGATCCTTCAGCTGTGTATGGAAGAAGGGAAAATTACGTAAAATCTCTTTGGCGAGGATATATACTGTGTTCTGTTTTCTAGTCCTTTGATTTAGAGATTTGTTGTCCTTACAGATTCTCCGTTTAATTGTGCTCTCTTTTAAGCCTAACAATTGTTTTCGTTTGTAGCTGTGGGAGCCACCGCGGTGTACCCTATAGACCTGGTGAAGACCCGCATGCAGAATCAGCGTGGCACCGGCTCTGTTGTCGGGGAGCTGATGTACAAAAACAGCTTTGACTGTTTTAAGAAAGTCTTGCGTTACGAGGGCTTCTTTGGACTCTACCGAGGTGAGCAAGCAGATCTCAGCTGCTGAAGTTAGTGAGTTTATCTCACCAGCAGCAGGTTTCAGACTCACTGATTGTGAAAATCAGTGCATAGCCTTTTCAGTCAGACTAGGGCTGTTTCTCTCCTTTTATTTCCTCCTTGCTCATTTCCCTTTTTACATTCTTGCTGGTAACTAGCAATATTAGTCTGCAGACAAGGTCTTTATTTCTTCTTCCTGCAATCTAAAGCCTGTGTTTTCCCCAGCATGGGTCTATGGTGGTCACCATGCTCTTACAAACTAAGGCACATGTCTGCAGGTGGAATACGAGGATGACAGCTAAGAAATAGAGAGCTTCTTTTCTCAAAGAATTAGAGAGGAAAAATATATCTCTCCTCTGTGAAATAGAAACCAGGCTGCCACTTGAAGGTGAGTTTACACTCTGTTTGTTTCACCTGAAAGAAATATTGCACATTTTTGTCTCTTCCAGGGAGACCAGTGAGTCATCTGAAGGTTAAAAAAAAAAAAAAGAAAGAAAGAAAGAAAAGAAAACCTTTTTGCTCCAAATCTTATTCTTGCTCCTTTTCTCCCTGTAGTTCAGAGGCACTGAGTGGAAGCAGAGAGATTTTCTTTTGCAGGGAATGTTACCACCAACTCTAAGCTGAGCACACTGCTATCGGCATCAGAGGCAGCAACCCCATGCAGAATTCTCCCCACCCCCATCGGCTTTGTAGGAACTTGTTCTCTTAGGAGAGGGAGACTTTCATGTACATGTTTTCACATTAGAATTTAGTGTTTCCTTTGGGAGGGAGATTAATTTTTTAATCCCTTTGGGCGCCACTTGAAATTCTTTGAAAAACTTTCTACATGCTCAATTCCAGGGCATTTATGTAATTTACTGTACTTGTTTGTTCGCACACACAGTCCCATTAATCCTGAGCTCATTCTGAGCTCTGCTGAACTGTTTGGCTTAGAACCTCTTCCTCGGAAAGAAAAACTGGGCCTGAGCAAAGCTTTATGCTCATGACCAGGAGGAAAAACACTTCTGATTGGCATTATGTGCAGATACTCAAGTGAAAATGTAGTTCTAATATACTTATACTTGAAGGAGAGGGTCATGAGGATGTTCATTTTTGACATTGTATAGAACAAGAGAAGAGAGTTGTTCTGGAATCAAACTAGGCTCAATACCCTGCTCCTGAGAAAGAATGCGATGAATTTTATTCAGATATGCAGAACTCTAGCCCGTCTGAAATCTAGCTGTACGACATTTACTCCATGGGAAGAGGTGTGCATTGTTAGAATGCAGATCTGTGCATGTGAGTGCTTGTTTTAGACTGTATTAAACACTGCACATCTAGATTTTATTTAATAGGGAATCTGAGGGTTAAGTGGTGCTATGGTGGTTTGCTTCTTTGACATCTCCAGTCTTTCTTTGTTGAGTAAGAATCTTTCTTCCTCCTTGGTATACTTTAAAAGAGAAGGAACCTAGACATACACCTCACAGTTTAGCCTCCTCAATGGATGGATGCTTACAGAAGATTTCATCTGGGAGAGATGTCATGTTAATTAAATGGGTCCAATATAGCAAGTTGGGGGTGGAGGGTGTGGAGGGATCATTAGCTTGATTCAGAATGTGAGCTGATAAAATCAGTCCTTTAAGTGAGAGATTGTAGGAGTCCTGTATCTGAACACTGTGATTGTTGAGATTGTCATATATTGCTTAGAAGTGGTCCATTATTTTGTCAGATGATTGACAAAATTGTTGACAGACTAGCCTAAATTTCTTTATAGGCAACAATGATAAAATGACATAAATCAATACTTTATTAAAATTCCGTGAGCCTTATTGAGACAAGTAGTAAAACAAACACACATGCTGACACGGTTGTATGGGAGTCAGCTTAAAAGTAATAGGGCCTGAGGGCTTCCCTGGTGGCACAGTGGTTGATTGTCCGCCTGCCAATGCAGGGGACATGGGTTCATGCCCCGGTCCGGGAAGATCCCACATGCCGCGGAGCAGCTGGGCCCGTGGGCCATGGCCGCTGAGCCTGCGCGTCCGGAGCCTGTGCTCCACAACTGGAGAGGCCACAGCAGTGAGAGGCCCGCGTACCGCAAAAAAAAAAAAAAAAAAAAAGTAATAGGGCCTGATAATCATGAGAGTTAGAAAGTTAAGACTGCCATCTGCTGATTTATTCTTTTAAATCAGTTTGCTACCCATTAAAGGTGTGTGCAGATTTGTGTTTGTCACTGATAATTCAGTTTGACTGACAGTAGGCTGTATGTACGATTACTTGCTGGCTCTCAACTTGCAGAAAATCACTCAGCAGTGTCCTCAAAGTAGGCTTAAGATCAGCAGCAAGCATGCAAACACATACATAACTTCCCCTTGGCTGGGTGATTTAAAGGATATAGTATGTTTATTGTTAGCATCTTTAAAAGATGTATGCAAAAAATGTATTTTAGCGATTTCGATAATCTGTGTGCTTTAGAAAGTTGAGCCCTATGAATAGCTACAGATGTTGAGTTGTTTATATATTTTTTCTTTTGCAGCCAGCCTGGAAAATTTAACTTTCTAAGAATAATGATTTCCTTTGTTTTAGGAGAAATCTTTTGAAATGTCTTAAGTTTGACATATATTAGCAAATAGGCTAACAATGGGCTGTTTTTGCTTGTAGAAGATACCCATTAAATGTTACTTAAAACTGCATTTTTCTTTGCAGTTTTGGCTTTCTTTTATTTTTTTATTTATTTTTTTTTGGCGGTATGCGGGCCTCTCACTGTTGCGGCCTCTCCCTTTGCGGAGCACAGGCTCCGGACGCGCAGGCTCAGCGGCCATGGCTCACGGGCCCAGCCGCTCCGCGGCATATGGGATCTTCCCAGACCAGGGCACGAACCCGTGTCCCCTGCATCAGCAGGTGGACTCCCAACCACTGCGCCACCAGGGAAGCCCTTGGCTTTCTTTTAAATAAATGAGTACTGAATTCTGGGTTTCTGTAAAGAGAAAATGATGGGAGTTGGTTTTCTGTGTTAGCCAAGCCACTGTATGCTATTATGCAGGTAGCATGATTTGTGGCAAAATCTGGGTCTACTTAACAGGACGCTTTGCAGAGCTTTTCCAAGCATACAACATTGGCTTCTCTAACGCGTCTGTGTACGTTAGTATGTTGTTGGTTGTAAAGGGAGGTAATCTGGTTTCCCTGCTATTGGCAGTGTTCTGGGAGTAGACAAGATCCATGGGTTCCATTCTTTCCTCATACTTTTTGGGAGGTGTTAGATAACCAGGCTTTAAAGGAGGCATGCTTAAGAAAAGGATTTATAGCCTCAAGAAGTATAACATTGTTTTGACATGAATAATTATTGTATACATATGCATAGTTTTTAGGATAAGCCACTTTTCCCATTTTAATAAAAACCCTAAAATGTTTGATGGGTAAATAATATGGGGAAAACCACCTTGTTGGGCTTGTGTATTCACGTCTAGTACATCTATACCGCTAACGATTCTCTCTGTTTACCTAGGTCTGATACCACAACTTATAGGGGTTGCTCCAGAAAAGGCCATTAAACTGACTGTAAGTTTCTTTCTCATTGAATTTATGTCCTTTGTTTAGATTATCATTAAGCCAAAAGTGAAAACTGATGCTGGTAAGACTAGCACACTATCAAGGCACTTGTACAATTTTAAACTTATTTGTAGTCATTTGCTAATTTTAAATTTTATATGAGACAAATATTTTGCTGATTTGGGAAAACCAGTAATGTACTACTAAAGGTAATGATTGGGAATTCTGGTTAACTGATGTTGTCTTTCTAATTAGGTCAATGATTTTGTCCGGGACAAATTTACCAGGAGAGATGGCTCCATTCCACTTTTAGCAGAAGTCCTTGCTGGAGGTTGTGTAAGTATTAATACTGATGATTTCTCACGGCAAATATGTTCCTTAGGATTTTTGCACACTGGATATACTATCTGAGTGACATGCCCCCTGAACTCAAGGGACTCTAAGCAGATTTTCTCAGTGATAATAAGGAATCATTTTTTAAATTTCATTGCATAATCTCACTGGTTTTGAGGCCGAAAAGATGTAGTATTTTTGTAGAGGTAGTATTCTTAGAAGCTCCTAAAACATTACCTTTTACACTTTTTAGAGTTCTAATTCTGTTTCTTTTTAAATACCACAGAAAACAGAGTAGTGGGTAGAGTTACCCTATATTTATATTGACTGGAACTTTAAAATAAGTGTGAGGTGACTGATTAAGTGGACCCTTGTATTTTAGGTGCAGGATTGAGTAAGCCATTGTGGTATAATTATAATTTTCCTCCTTTTAGGGACCAGAGCAAACAACCATAACTATGTTGAAGCTATTGACAATTCTGAACTTTAAAGAGATTCTGTCTTTAAAGTGTGAGCATGACATTGGATTTAGACCAATTCTCAAATCTAAGTTTTCAGCTCAACTCATCTTATTTGTGGTGTTCCTTTCACATTTGGTAGTACATGATTTTTTTAAAGATTTATTTAGTCCATTTTGTCCCTGAAACCCTTAATGGCTTCCAGTTGACTTGGCTGACAGTCTTGGCTAAACCCTCCTCAGTTGCTTGTGGAACCTGAGGTGATGAGGTCAGTGACCTTTGCAGCTTTTAATTCAGAGAAGATTCCCTGAGGGTCAGAGAGAGAGGGTGCTCTGGATTCTCCTTCATGATATTTGTCAGCCTGGCACATACCTGGGTCTTCATCTTTCTGCAACCAAAGTTCTTATGGAAGAGGTAGCTTGGCGCACTCCCTTTGTGTGAGTGTGCGTGCGCGCGCGCATGTGTACTTACGTGCATTTGCCGCTATACCTGCACACATGCCCAAGTGCATTCTCAGGGAGAAAACTCATGTCTTTGGCTAACTTTTTTCATGTAGGACAAATAATGGACAGGACTACCTTTGCTTAGTTCTTACTGTTGTTTCTCCTCTTTATCCCAATTAGATGCTGTAAGTGTTTCTCTTCTAATGAAAGAACCATTGCGTATCATAAATATTCTTTTTCTCAGTGGTTTTAGTTTTAATTTGGTTAAGAAATTTCCTAACTCAGCTTTGCTGCAACACTGTGTACATTTGTCAGAAATCTTCCAAGTCATGCTCTCTGTGTTCCATGTAACTAATTATTTGTTTCCATTTGTAATATCCAGAGGTTTTTGCCCATGAACCTGACTTGTTCCCTTGTCTGACATGTGACCTAAGTGGTTAAATTATAATCAGATATTTGGTTCCTTTGTTCTTCCTAGGTATTGACCCTGTTTCTATTTTTGAACTTTGGGAATTTCTCTTGAAGTCTGGGGTGCCTCGAGGGTTGTGCTGACAGTCTGAATCTCTTCCTTAAGAGATTTATTTCTGGACGCTTTGACTCATTTCTGGACGCTTTGATGGATTGTCTAGCTGGAAATTGACAGTGTGAAAAATAGGTTGGGCTATAGGAGGATGATTAGGTTGTATGTACTTCTTCACCACAAACACTTTCTGCTTCCCTGTTTCCTCTACATCTCTTCATTTCAGGGAGGAAAGAAAATGTATAATTATTGAGTTTCTACTGATGAATTCGATCACACTACAGTATAAATGACTGTTAAAGCACAATCTGCTACTTCTCCCAAAAGTCTATATATTTCAACAGAGAATAACCTTAAACAAAAAGGATGAGTCTCTGCTGATAGAATATCAGGCACTGTGGAATATAGGAATACTCTTTTTGCTGAATGAAACATGGTAAGCAGCCACCAGATAAACACTAGGAAGAGTGGCTGCCCGTGAGGCTAATCAGGAGAGCCCAACCCTCAGGATCCTGGGTACGGGTGGTGATAGAATGTGGAGTGTCCTGTGGGTGTTTGGCTGAATGCTGTCAGTGCCACCAAGTGAGAGGAGTGCAGCTGTTCTTCCAAACATCACTCAATTTTAAAGATGTATTGGGTTGGCCAAAAAGTCCGTTCGGTTTTTAAGTAAAAATAAAAGATACGTTTTTCATTTTCACCAAGAACTTTATTGAACAACAAATTCACCCTTTTGTTCCACTACCTTCTGCCATTTTTCAGGCAACTTCATGGTTCCATCTTCCCAAAACTTTTTATCTTTTTGAGCAAAGAACTGTTCCAGGTGCCTTTTACAGTCTTACAGAGAATTGAAATTTTTTCCATTAAGAGAATTTTATAAAGACCTAAATAAATGGAAATCTGAAGGTGCAATGTCTGGTGAATACGGCAGATGAATCAGAACTTCCTAGCCAAGCTGTACCAGTTTTTGCCTGGTCATCAGAGAAACATATGGTCTTGCATTATCCTGTTGGAAGATTATGCCTTTTCTGTTGACTAATTCTAGACGCTTTTTGTCGAGTGCTGCTTTCAGTTGGTCTAATCGGGAGCAGTATTTGTTGGAATTAATCGTTTGGTTTTCCAGAAGGAGCTCATAATAGAGGACTCCCTTCCAATCCCACCATATACACAACATCACCTTCTTTGGATGAAGACTGGCCTTTGGTGTGACTGGTGGGTTCATTTCGCTTGCCCCACCATCTCTTGCATTCCACATTATTGTATAGTATCCACTTTTCATCACCCATCACAATTTGTGTTAAAAACGAACGTTTTTATTACATTTAAGTAGAGAACTGCATGCGGAAATACGGTCAAGAAGGTGTTTTCGCTTAACTTACGTGGAACCCAAACATCAAAGCGATTAACATAACCAAGCTGGTGCAAATGATTCTCAGCGCTTGATTTGCTTATTTTTAGTATGTTGGCTATCTCCTGCATGGCATAACGTTGATTGTTCTCAGTGTCTCGGTTTGATCTCTATCCACTTCAACTGCTCAACCCGACCATAGAGCATCATCCAGAGAGAAATCTCCAGCACGAAACTTTGCAAACCACTTTTGACACGTTCAATCAGTCACAGTACCTTCTCCATACACTGCACAAATCTTTTTTTGCATTTCGGTTACATTTTTACCTTTCTTGAAATAACAAATAAAGCATAATAGGCCGAAAATGTTGCTTTTTTTCTTCCATCTTCAATATTAAAATGCCTACACAAAAATTCACCAATTTTGACAAGTCTTTTTTTAAATGCATGCTGATATGACAGCTGTCACATACAGTCTAACAAAATTATTTTGAATGAAGTTAAAGGCAACTAAGTGCTACTAGAGCCATCTTTCGGAGAAAACTGAACAAACCTTTTTGCCAGCCCAATACCTAATGTGTTGACCTAATGCAGATTAATTCAGAAGAAATGGCTCAAACTGAGCAGTTAGTATTGACTTTACAGCTTTTTTTTCCGTAGCAGAAGAATCAGCTAGGACTAGGGTCTTGAGTTCCCTACATAGGGGAGGGAAATTCTACTGCTCTGAAAATGACTGTGCCGTCCTTTAGGAAAAATGATGTACACTAACTAGATCATTGAGGTGACCAAGAAATGAAAATATCCAGTCCTTAAGCATTATGTGTTTTTTTGTTGTTTGTTTTATTTTGTGATCTGTTTTTAAAAGTATGTGATATTAGATATATGCAAAAGAGAACACATTATATAAACAAAAAGTTATAATAAAATGAGCATCCATGAGCCTACCACTCAACCTAACTACAGTATTACTATTATCATTGATGCTGGGTTTTGCTTTTACTGTAGCTCTAATCTGCTGGAATGCTAATGAGCATGTAGGGACTTTTCTTACTGGGCTGAACATTTTATAGGCATTCTGTCATTATTATTCCCAATTGGAGTTGAAGAAACTAAAACCTGAGAGACATCTAGCACTTAGTGAATGGCAAAGGTGAGAGTCAAACCACTTTTGTCTCCAAATCTCTATTAACTCATATTTGGTATGTTTTCATTCATTCTTTCTTCCATTTATTCATTCTCATCCAACAAGCTGTCAAGGCTGAGAAGGATTTAGAGTTTCTTCCTGTGCAAGGAACTAGACTTAGGAAATGTTTATATCTCATAGAAAAAGGGTAGTTCTGACCATTCTCACCAGATAAAACCTAATCTTATATCTAAACATATTCCACTGTGGTAATTTGAAAGTAGAATTCCTTATCGTGATTTGCTTCATTTCTACATGTCACCAAAGAAAATACGTGCTTATGATTATAATTCATTGTAATAATAGCTACCGTTTCTTGAGCCTCTTGCACTGGACTGAACACTTTATAGGCATTATCTCATTATTCCCAGCTAGAGTCGAAGAAACTAAAAGCTCAGTGAAATCAAGCACTTAGTAAATGGAAAAATTGAGATTCAAACCACTTCTGTCTCTAATCTATATTCTTTCATACTTGGTTTATGTTTCCATTCGTTCAGTCTTTCATTCATTCTCTCATTCATCGAATGCTTGCTATGTTTCAGGAAAAAATTTTAAAATAACAGCTTTATTGAGATAGAGTTCACATATCATACAATTCCCCACACTTAAAGTGTACAATTCAGCAGTTTTAAGTATATTCACAGAGCTGTGCAACTATCACCATAGTCAATTTTAGAACATTCTCATCCCCAAAAGAAACCTAGTACCCTTTAGCTATTGCCTTCCAATTTTCCCGCCCTCTCCCCATCAAGTCTTAGGCTACTACTCGTAAACTTTCTGTCCTTATAGATTCACCATTTCTGGACATTTCATATAAATGGAATCAAACAATATTTTGTGTCTGGCTTCTTTCACTTAGTGTAACGTTTCAAGGTTTATTCATGTTGTAGTATGTATCAGTATTTCAGGCCTTTTTTATTGCTGAATAATATTTCATTATACCAATAATACCACATTTTTTGTATCCATTCATCAGTTGTTGAACACGTGGGTTGTTTCCACCTTTTGGCTATTATGAATAATGCTGCTATGAACATTCATGTAAGAAGTTTTG